ACTGAATAAAACTGGTTTGTTTTTTTTGAAGCATTCTAAAGAGTTGGATTCAGTAAAGACTGGTTAAACACAAACACACACACTCACAAATTTAGAATAGCAATATTCTTAATTCTGTACCCTATTGTTTTTGTAATATGCATGGACACAGTACTTGTGCTCATACAAAAAGCAAACAAGTCTGTTTGGAATTTAGCACATAAATAAATTCACTTTCTATACTAAAACAAAAGCAAAATATGCTGAACATTACAAACCGTAGAACTTTAGAGAGGACTTAGCATTGCCATAAATATTTAAATAGTAAGCAAATATAGAATACCTGTTTTCATGAGCTTTAAATTCACACAAGCATTTTTGAGAGTCACAGCTGTAGAACCTAATCATTTCATCATCTCCAGCTATGGCAAGGACAGAATCCTTGGAATGGGGAAAGAGAAATGCAAGTGTGATTAATTTCATGTGTTTCAAACCAGTTAATTTCCCAACACCTCTCGTTTTTGTACTTACTGTAATAAATCTAAGTGAAGAAATCCTCTTCTCTGTTGTAATGGTGCCAGTGATTGAAGCTGTGTCAAGTCTGTAGATATCCACTTTGTTTGCTATCACGGTCACATACTTCTCTCCATCAGGGGACCATTTAATTATGTGTGCATCTGTACACATTGATACAGAGAATCTAAAAGTAAGAATCTTTAGAAGCTGCTGGACACTGTTTTCTACCTAGACCTAAGAAAATATTCAATGAAAAATCAAATAAACTAGAACAAACAGCTATACACTCTAATGTTTATTTCCAATTATCAGAATCATGTAAAGAAAAACAAACTGAAACACATTTATTTAAATGCTCTGACCTCAAATATCAAGGAAAAAAAGGATTTACTTTAGTGGTACTATGTTTTCCTTTTGCTAAATGACTATTATTAAGGACATGAGCTTACACATGCTTGCCTGCACGTGTAAAAAAGACATTGTGAAAGTTTGCATGATGATTAATTCAGTCAACTTTTCTTTACACGAAAAATAAAGCCATCAAACTGCACTTAATTAGTGGATTTAGACTGATAAACTCACTTTGCTTCAGGTTTTTGATAAAGGCCGATCGTCCTTCAACAAGATTCCAAGTTCTGAAACATAATAACAGGCAATGAGCATTCTGGTTAAAAACAGCACAGCAAAACTGAAATCCAATCTGCTGTCATGAGGCACCCAAAGGAAGCTTTTAAGCCTCTCTAAGCATTTTTCTGCCTTCTTAATGCAAAAGAAAATGACTTCATATATTGCTTGCACGTTATAATGTTGAACTTGTGTTATTTATTTTCTAAACCACCATTTGCAATACTGAGACCAAAAGGAGGCCAATAGAAATTTGTGCTATGAAAATAGCATTTTATATCTCTAAAACAGGTATCTACAGCAACATGGAAACACTCCAAGTGAAAAATCACACTAAACAAAATCTGTCACTTTTCAAAAGTTTAAGCAAATAGTGCTCCAAAATACAAACATATTTATACAAGTGACTTGTGAAGAGTCAGAGCTCACAAGGAGGAGGAATGAACAGCTGGCACTTAGAACTTCAAAAGACAAACAGATGGATCTTTGAACCATTTGAAAACAAATATGTTTTATCAGTGTTGCCTAGTCCCAATTGTTGCTTATAGCACCTTATTAAGAGTTATTGAATTGTGATTCTCAGCATTCCTTCATCAGTTTTGACTTACCTTAATGTTTTATCTGTTCCGACTGACAAAGCTAATTTCCCAGAAGGATGAATGGAAAGAGATGTCACATGTCCCCTGATGAAAACAAAACATTAGTCACATGTATTATTTACAAGGAAAATAGACATGAAAATGTATGTGACCATGACGATTTAAGAAACTTACTTATGTGCCTTAATGGATTTCAGACATTCCCATCTCTTTGTGTTCCAGATACAAATGAGCCCATCTTCAGCCCCACTCAGTAGATGTGAAGTCCCATAGAACTCCAAAGAAGTTATCGTGCCTAGAAATACAATTAACAATGTTGTACACACCAAAAGTTATTGCACAAATTAACAGAGAACGTAGAACTTAACAGAAAAACTTCTTCCATCAAGGCATGCCAGCTACTACCCTAACCTTGGGAAAATCTAAATGATTCCCTAAGTATTTCTTCAAAAAACCCTCAAACTTTCTTGCTATATTCAATAGTCTAATGTGGTGTACCAGGCACCCTTTACCCACACACGTCTGCAGTCCATCTGGTCTGTTCTCTGTCACAGCAGTACTCAAACACCAGGGCAGAGAGCTTTTATCAGTGACAGGAATGCTCCCTGTCAAAGCCCTGCTCCTGACACATAGCTGGACTTACTGCACTTGCTGCTTCCCCATAATCACCAGATGTATCAAACATGACTTAAATGCAGTTACCATGCTCAGTCTAGCTCCTGGATCTTTTTGATTAATTAATAATGAGCTACAAATGACCCAAACGGATTTATTTGGACAGCCATTAACAGATGACTGTACCAATGATATAGACAGAGGGTGCACCCTCAGCTAGTTTACAGATGACACTAAATTCTGTAAGTGATGAGGGATGGGATGCCATCCAGAGGGACACGAACAAGTTCAAGCAGAGGGCTTGAATCTCCAAGTTCCACAAAGCACAGTGCAAGCTGGTATCAGCACAAGCTGGGGGATGGACAGATTGAGGGCAGCTCTGCTGGAAAGGACTTAGGCTTGCTGAGAGATGAGAGGCTGGACATGACCTAGAAATGTGTGCTTCCAGCCCAGAAAGCCAAATGTGTCCTGGGCTACATCTAAGGCAGCGTGGGCAGCAGATTGAGGAAGGGGATTCTGCCCCTCTGCTCTGCTCTTCAGAGACCCCACCTGGAACACTGCATCCAGCTCCAACACGTCCCCAGCATAAGAATGATGTGGACCTGTTGAAGCAAGTCCAGAGAAGGGCCATGAAGATAACCAGAGAGATGGAACACCTCTCCTGTGAGGAAAAGCTGAAAGAACTGGAATTGTTCAGATGGGAAGCGGCTGCAGGGAGACCTTACTGTGGCCTTCCAGTACTTGAAGGAGGCTTAGAAGAAAGATAGGGACAAACCTTTTAGCAGGACCTGTTGTGATAGGTTAAGGTTTTAGACTAAAGAGAGCCGATTTAGATTAGATGTAAGGAAGAAGTGTTTTTACAAGGACAGCAGTGATACACTGGAACAGCTGCCCAGACATGTGGTTGATACCCTGTCCTTGGAAACGCTCAAGGCCAAATTGGATGGGGCTTTGCGTAACCTGATCTGGCTGAAGATGCCCCTGCTCACTGCAGTGGGGTTGGACTAGACGACTTTTAAAAGATCCTCTCCAATCCAAACTGTTCTGTGACTCTATCATGTACTCTGAAGCTGTAATTCAGGCAGCACACACAGTGGGGAAATGTACCAGGTTAACTCCTCTGACAGCAGCAGCCTGCTTTCACACACAAACTCTCTTTTGTGTGGTTCATGTACACTTGTAACAGGGGCAAGAACACTGGGAAAGACCGTAGCTGGGAGTAGGCATGATCTAGATAAACCATCTTGATAGAAGAAAAATGGCACATAAGCCATTTGTGGCTCATAACTTCTAAACCACTTCATAAAACTACAAATAATTTAAAGCAGCAGCAGCATTTGTGAGCTAATACCAGAGTAATTGTTTTTACCTTCTATGCTCAAAAGCTTACCTTGTTTGTATGATCACACCATCATGGCTGCAACACCACCACTACTAAAGTCTTATTAGAAAAAAAACCAAAACAGTATTTTTCTAGCAAAGGCCAGTTTTTCAGCTACAATTTTTTATCATTACGGTTTTTTACAAAGAAATGATCCCTTACCATTGTGCTGTAGCAATGCCCCATGTTCAATCTTCTTTTTCATGTCATAGATTTGGATTGTCTCATCTCTGCTCCCAGTGACCACATATCTGTTATTCACTGCTACTGCTGACAATGAGGCAGTGTGGGCATGATGTGTAAAATCAGGGACGACTGTCCAAGACTGTAAATGAAATGCAAAACAAACAGGCCTTTCTCAAGTTTACCACAGAAAGCTTCCACTTCATTGTCCCATAATTTTATTTTTTAAAAGCAAAAGCTGAAAAAGTATACGTGCGAAAATCAGAATCATAGAATCAAATAGGTTGGAAAAGACCTTTGGGATCATGATGTCCAACCCATGACTGAACATCACCTTGTCAACCAGACCATGGCACCAACTTCCTTAACCTCCATGGATGGTGACTCCACCACCTCCCTGGGCAGTGCATTCCAATGTCTAATCACCCTTGCTATGAAGAAATTCTTGCCTGATGAAGGCTGAATGCCCAACCTGAATGTCAGCTGGCACAGTGTGAGGCCACGTCCTCTTGCCCTGTCACTGGCTGCCTCAGAGGAGAGGCCAACCCTCACCTGGCTACAGCCTCCTTTTGTACAGCTGTAGAGAATGATAAGGTCCCCTTGAGCCTCCTTTTCTTCAGACTAAACAACCCAGCTCCCTCAGACACTCCTCACTGGACTTAAGCTCCTGACCCTTCAGCATCTCCACTGCCTTTCTCTGGAGTTGCTCCAGCATCTCAATGTCTTTTCTGATTTGAGGGGTTCAGAATCGTGAGGTGTGGCCTCACGAGTACAGGCGGAGGAATTATACTTAGCTGTAAGCGTAATGGGATCTTCCTGAGTTAATGTGCTGTTAGGAGATTAGTCCAAAGCATTTAAGCCTGCAAACCGCCCCTTGTAATCAGTGCTGTGCTTAGACGAAGCTGTCTCTGCACAGAGATAAATCCCAAGAGCAGGAAAGGCGGACTCTCCTTTTCCATCACGGCAGGCTGGAGACACGCCTTCCACGCGCCCTCAGCCCACGTCCATCCCTCCATCCATCCCTCCATCCTCCGCACGGCGCCGGGAGGAGCGGCCCCGCACCGCGGACCCCGCACGGACGTGGCTCCGCCGCAGCTGCCGGGAGCGCTTCGTGCCAGCGAGGGGGCCGAGTCTGGCGGCAGAGGCCGCGGAGAGGCCGCCCCGCCCCCGCAAGGCGCTTTAAGAGCCCCGGCGGCGCCCGGAACCGCGGCTGCGGACGGGCGAGACGGTGAGTGCCGGGGCGCGCTTCCAGGGGGGCGGGCGGGGCATTTCCCCCACACAATTCCCCGGAGGTGTTCCAGACCGGGCTGGACGTGGCTCCGAACACGCTGGTCTCGTGGAAGATGTCCCTGCCCGCGGCAGGGGGTTGGAACGAGATGGCCTCCAAGGTCCCTTCTCACCCAGACCGTTCTGTGCTTCTTCCCTCCCTCCCTCCCCCCCGTTCCCCCGGCTCCCGTTACCTGGCCGGGCCGCGTGGCGAACCCCAGCAGCACCTGCTCGTAGCACCCCGCCACCAGCTCCATCCGCCACGGCACGGCGCCGCCCCGGGGCTCCCGCTGGCTCTTCCGCCCGTCCGCCCCGCTGCCTGCGCCGCTCCGCGCTGGCCCCGCGCTGGCGTCCGGCAGCGCTCGCTCCGTGCGGGTGAGGAGAATCCCGTGGGAGCCGCCGCGGAGCGGGAAGCGCCGGAGGAAGCGGCGAGGGGTCAGGCTGCGCGCGGGGCAGCCCGCGCAGGGGGGGCTTCGCGGGGCGGAAGCGGCGCTGGCGGTGATGGCGGCGGGGAGGACGAGAGGCGTTAGTGCCGGGATGGCGAGGGGGGGAGGGGGAGCGGTGCTCGGGATCGGGGGCTGCTAGCGGGGAAAAGGGGCGCGGACCGATCTATCGGGAACGAGGCGGGGTGGGTTGGGCTGGGATGTTCGGCCCTTTTCCTTCCCTGGGGCCGCGGGGCCCCCGCCTGCCTCAGGGCGCGCGGGGCGAGGAGGCCCCGGCGGCGCTTGGGCCGAGGCACCAGAGAACCAGCCCAGCCCCGGGCCCCGCCGGCTTTCATTATTTCGTCGGGTCGTTTTATATTTTTTCATTACTTAATTTCTTATCGCGTAGTACGTAAGCAGGAAGCGCGGCCCCGGCGCCAGTGTGGCCGCTTACGGAGGGCCGCGGCCGGGCGGGGCGCACTTGTGGTCGGGCTCTTCCCGTCGTGCCGAGTGGCTCGCTTAGAGAAATGCGTCATGGCTCGGGCCTGGGCACGGCCGGGGTCACCGCGCCGGCCCCGAGAGCTCTGGGAGGCTCCCTCATCCCCGTGCCCTGCCCCAGCGCCTCGTGTGAGCGGAATTAGTGCCAAAGGAACGGGAGGGAATTGCCCGCTGCCTGCGTGAGCGGTGTTTGCACGGACGATTAGGGCCGTGAACAGCTTCGCCCACCTTTTTGCCGTATGAACACAGTAATGAAAGAAAGTGGAATAAAATAAAAAGCTGCTATGGTGTGTGTGTAATCCAATTAAAGATGTGTTTGAATTCTGGAGGTTGAAGCTGCTTAAATGAAAGCGACCTGTGACTGTAGATACAGTTAAAGCAAATGGGAAAAAATGTATTATATCAGTACATGCTGTTTTAACTGCTTTTAAAATGATCTTATTTTCTAGTGAAAAGGTGAACGTTGGACAGGGAGGCGTACAAAACCGTTTTTGCATAAAAGTTGGTGATAACCTACTGAGAAGCCCTTGTATCACTTGCCTCCCGATAGCCTCTTGCAGCAAGAGCACTCTGTCGTGCGTGCCATCTTCCATCAAGTCTGCAGGAGTGAAAAGTGGTAAGTTTAAAAAAAGTTTCTGGGCAGTTGTGAATTCAAAAATCAGTATTTCAGTGTTGAGAGCATGAAGGAGTTCATGGTTCTTTTACTGAAAGCTAGTGTTACAGGAACATTGTTATGTGGATATTTGCATTAGTAATGGTAAGCCTTAAGAGGCAGAATTTGCTGCTGATAATTCTTTCTGATGAACACAATTACTTTCAGTTAGCATGTGCTCAGTATAGCATACACTAACCTTACTAGTATTTTAGGCCTGTTTGTGCTTGACTCTTGGCTTCACAATGGCTGTGGGGATGAAGTCCGTAGTTATTCTGAATAGCACCATGCATAGAAGCTCTAGTTATGATTTATGGCTATCCTGTGTCAAGTTAGTCTAATCCAAGTAGTGCTCTGAACTCTGCAGGCAAGCCTTGAAGGCATTGTAGATGCTCTGTGGTTATTGTATTATGTGGCTGTGGACTTAATCCACAAGATTAAGCCAAGATCTAAAACATTACATAAATTCCTGCATGGAAGTGGGAACTAGAACTTCGACCATCAAATATCTGCACAGGATACACCAGATGTAAGAAATCAGTAGGGGTGAAGAACACCTGTGTGTGAAATTAAATGCAGAGTATTTTGCAAATGAAATTAGTTTTTGCACTGATTTATATTTGTTGGATGACTAGGAGAAAAAGCCTAAAGAAAGGATATTGGGATCAACAGAGATGCATAGCTCTTGAGGAAAGTGTGTCCACTGTTTTAGTGATGGCAGTAAGATGTTATTTGCTGGTTTTGGTTTTGATGGTCATGAGTGAAATGTGTATGTGGAGAAGGCGAGAGGGAGGAGAAAAGGTGCAGGGAAAGATGTTTGCTTGTGCTATGCCCTCATCCTGTTTTTATTTCTCATATCCTTTAGCACATGGGAAGTGTACCACTGCTTGTTTTCAGCTGCATGGTTTGTGGTACAAGTAAACTTAAATCTGGCTAAAAGGGGAAGAAACTGACGAGGTTGTACAAAACATACTGAAACCTCTGTCTTTTGCCTTGCTTTTAACTATTATAGAATCTTCTGGATTATTGGGTTATTATATGTAGGTATTTCAGAATTAAGGGTAAGGTATAGAGGACTTAAACAATCTCTAGAATTTTCTAGTGCTTTGGACAATGGGAAAACTTTTTGGTCTGTTATAGTTTAAGACAGAAAAAATATATGGCTAACAGGATTATGATTAGATGTAATCTTCACTATCTCCAGTGTATAAGCAGTGGCAAGTTGGAACTTAGAAATGTAAGTTCTGAATTAATAACTTTAAAGCATATGGTGGGGTGAACATATTTGAAAATAATTAATATTGAGGATAAAATCCTTCATCTTCTTTTTCTCCCCTACATTTTTTTCAGCTGAAGGAGTGTAATAAATTGAACCTGCGCAGTTTTACTGTTCGAGAAAGACAGAAGACAGTTTGAACCATGGCAAGCCAGGTAAGATCATTTAGTCAGAAATACAGGCATGCAGTGCCTAAATGGATTCCAGAACCATACTCAGAATTCCTAATAAATGTAAAGCTGACATAGCTAGCTTGCTCTGAGTTGGATGTTCTTTTAGCCCTAAGATTTCTTCTGGCAACTGTCCTCAGGACACTTCATTGTGTCGACTCAAGCAGGTTGGGGGGCATTGTGTTAAGCTTTGCAGTTTGCATTATTTGAGCGCGAGTTCTTCTCAAGGAGCTTGCGCATAACGCTCTGTATGAGATACATGTGGAGGTGTTATAGAGGAAGAACATTAAAGCCTGCGTAAGTAAATGCTATGGAACATCATTCTTATTTTTGCAAGTCCTTGTTCTTCAGAGTCTTCATTGAGTGAGGCAACTGGTGTTAACAAGGCTGTTTCCCCTCCTCTTTTGTGTAGTTGCCCCACTCACTTCCTTTTTGAACTGTGGTTTTTGGGGTTTTAGTGTTTTTTTTTTTTTCTTTTTTCTTAATTTTTCCTTTTTTTTTTTTTTTTTTTTTTTTTTTTTTTTTTTTAATTCCCTGAGAGGCACTTTTTATGCCTCTTTCCTCCTGGCCTTGCATCTGGGTTTGAGTTTTCCCTCAGCCGATCGCCGATCTAGTGCCTGTTCCTGGTCTGCTTTTGCCTTAAATTCCATTAATTGGCCTCTTGTTGCTCCTGGCCTGGGAGAGTGACTCACTGCTGGGTAGTGAGGAGAGGCATCTCTCAGAAGAATTCCTAGGTGAGGGGAGATAGGGACAGTGGAGATTCCTTCCAGGCAAGCGTGACAATTTCCCTGCCTCTTCATCGCGCAGATTGTGCTGCGGCAGGGTTTTTTGCATCCTGGAGCTCAAGTGGAACACAGTCCAGTCCTGAAGCTAATTTACATTTAGGATTGGCCAGCATCAAAAGGCTATTTGGTTTGTCCCTAATTCCCAGAGGAAGCTGTCAATCCTTTAGCCAGCTTGACAAGTCAGGGGAATATGGCTGTTCATGCAATCCTTTGGCTCTGTTATTTTTGCCAGGCGTTTTCCCCAGAGGCTGCTTTCCCTCATGGGAGGCGGAGGGAGAAATGGGACCCCAGGCTTCTTTCAAGGGCAAGGTGAATATGGGGAAATCACCTGTGGTGATGGGGAGTGGGAGGGAGGAATGTAAATGAGGCTAAATACTATAAAGGTCATTTTTTTTCTCCCTACAGGACTTGATGGCAAAAAAAAGAGAATGTCTCCAGGCCTACAGCTGGTGGAGAACACCCCAGAAGAAACGGAAGAAAAAGAACAAAATAAAACCAGGAAGAATAGAGTTTGTCCCTAGTAGTACTAACACAACCAGGTAAAGAGCTTTAGAAAGGAGCAGCTCTGACCCTTTATCTGTTTTAATTGCTAATGACTAGTGAATGTCATCAGTTATTTTAAAAATCCTGAAATGGCACACCTGGTGCCTATACACTAAGTATTGCTCATGGAATACTTAGTATTGTATTGCCATTTGAACAATGAAGATTTTTTTTCCTGGTATATCTCTCTCATAATTGCTTGAGATGTGGTGTCAAAATAGTCTTAGCTCTTTTTGAATTCTGGCTGTAACTTAATATTTTTTTCTTGGTGTTTTGGGTGTCCTGCCCTTCAGACAACAAATAGTAGTTTCTAAAAAGAGTCTTTGATAAATTTGAGTCTTTATTGAAATGCTTGAAAAAGCAGTAGAATGGACTCAGAAATTAAGAATTTGCTGGAGTGATGGCATTGCAGTTCTGTGCAGTGCTTAGCAGAGTTTTGCAGTTAATACTCTCTTCATATTTTGTCTCCTTATTTGTCCAGTAATAACTACTTGCTTGTATGTTAGGGACTTTATACTGACATGAACTCTGTTATTTTCAAACTTAATGGTGGTTCTCTTATCTTTTTAAAGACCGGACTATTCAATATTTGTTGGGGAACTGACTCCAGAAGTAGATGATTTTCAGCTCTATGACTATTTCCTAAAGAGGTACCCTTCATGTATTGACTGCAAAATAGCAACAGACCTGCTGGGATATTCCAGGTAATGCCTGTGAAAATGTGTTAATGCTGTCAGTATGTTTGTTGCTATAAGTAATCTATAAGAACTTATATTTGAACTGGTTTTGTATTTTCTTCAGAGGCAGGAAGAGAGATTATTCTCTTGCATTTTTTTAACAACCTAGATCCCTGGGGTTCTGAAACTTTATGGTTAGTTTTAGCTAACTAATGGGTTAAGATTCAATTTAGCCAAATGCATATCTGCATGAAAGCAGTTAGATGGTGGGAGAAAGGAGAGCTCTGCATGGACATCTGTGCTTACTTACAGCAGTGTGTCCGCCTAGTCAGTGCAGTACTCAGGACAAAATAATTCCCTTTTTACATGTGGAAGAAAAGTGTAAGGCCTAGCAAATCTTAGGGGATTGGGAGATGGGAATACTAGTATTAGTAAATAAATCTTAGGAGAAGTTAGACTGGCAAGGCAGAGAGTGAAGAAGGGATAAGTGAATTTGCTGTTCAGAAAACACTGGCTGTAATGGACTAGTTCAAGAAACTTAAAAAGAAATCAGAGAGAGCAAATTTAGAAAGAAGGTTAGAGCTGTAGAGCATAGGAACAGGTTAATACTGATATATTGAATATACTGAACTGCTGTAAGTGCAGAAATATATAATCTGGTTACTTACACAGATAGCAGTTAACATACATTGTTTTGCTGGCTTTCAGCAAGTTGCATCTTAATGCTATCAACAAAGCTTTTTGCTTCTGGCCCAAGCTTTTAATTTTGTGAAAGCGTCTTCTGTGCATGTGCACATGCCAGAGAGGTTGCTTAGGTAATAGAAGCTATAGCAGCTACTATTTTCATGAAGACAGAAAATGAATTAATTGGCTTTGTAACTGTTATGAATACTAGAATTTGTTTTCTCCCTTTTGAAAATTGTAGAGGGTATGCCTTTGTCAGATTTGGTGAGCAAGGTGATCAGATGAGGGCACTGCAAGACTGCCAGAATGCCCCAGGTCTGGGGGGAAAACGAATCCGGCTGAGCATAGGAATTTCTAAAAGGTAAAAAATGAGTTGTGCATTGATAAAGTAATTCTGAATAATTGGATTCTTTTAGCTCTGCCTTTGTAAAGACTGTGGCCCTTGCTATAATGGCTGTACAGGATGCAAAATCAAGAAGCATTATGTTTTGACTGCCTGGATCCATCAACCTCTTTGAGGATTGCTGGGGAAATCCAACTCTTAAGTCTAGCCAGATTGTATAACTTGGGCTTAGCTGCTCTTGTGACCGGCCTTAATGCTTATGGTAGTGAAGCTGAATGTATTTGTAAGTGTTTCATGTTTGGGCCTGAAGAAGGTAGAAGGGACAACAAGTGTTTATTTTTATTCTAGGAGGCTCTTCTGGGCCTTTCCCCTTGGATTAGACAAGTTAGCACATTGTTAGTTTTAAAGTAGGCTGGCAGGGGAAGGAACTCTTTAGTGGGAAAACACAAAATATGGAGGGGAAGAAGCCAAAGGAGATGTTGCTTGAACAGTTTGTTTAGAATACTGCTCTTTGGTCCTCAAGTGATTAGGGCAGCAGGAAATTGAAAGTTGATTTGGTTTGAGAGGTTTTTTTTCTGCCAGCTCAGTTCTCTCAGTCAGTTATTTAAGGCAATCCAGTTAGAGACTTGATACCAAATTTGATAAACTATGATCCAGAATACAGACAAAAATAGAACTGTCTGTGAAACAATTTCAGTATATATTCATGAGGTTAGCTTGTGTGTTCTGTTAGAAGGCTAAAAATAACAGCTCCTGCTTCTCTTCCCTGGATAGTTTTGCCAATGTTGCCTCATTGCTTTGGGACAGAAATGCCCTTAGCTAAGAGAGTACTGTCCAGATTTGCTTTCACTAACTTGCTCTGAAAACAATGTCCCAGAAAAGTTTTCTTCACTTCTGCTATCCAGAAGAATGTCAGCAGTATTTTTAGATGTTTGTTTCCTATAGAGATTGGTGTAGGGGAGAAGTTGGAAGCAGAAGATGGAGGCATTATGAAACATCATTTATTTGCTACAGTAGTAAGACAATAAAACACCTATTTATTAGAATGTATGTGTAGCTTCACAGTAAGGAAGCAGAAATGCAGTGTGAGTATTGACATACACACCTCTAATCTACACCTATTTCTGAATGGCTGAGTACTATGCTCTCGCAGCATCCAAAAGTCCAGCCATCAGAGTAGTTTGTCATTAAGTTACTTACATTGGAAATTATTTCTGAGCTCCTTCAGTTTGTGGTCTTGGCAAAAAGCCCCAATCCGAATTTTCTGTAGTAAAGTGGAGATAAACAGACATTGGACACTGCGAGCCCAGGAGGTCTGCTTGTATGTAATCAGCGAGGAAATGTCAAGCATAGGGGATTTCTTGGATGCTTTTCATGTGGTGTATCTCTGGTTTAGAACAGACTATTCTTGTTCATTGATACTTGTCATTAGTCAACTTGAAGTTGCCCCTGGGAAAAATCTGCTCAGGAGAGGGAAAGCAGTGAAAACTAATCACCTGGCCCTTTGGTCTTCATAACTAATAAGTTTTGTAATTTTCCTGCTGCTTTGGCTTCACTCTGGATAACGGCAGTGCTGACTTCACCTGACAGCTAAGCTTTGGCAACTGTTCATGGACCAAAACTTGAGAAGGTGAAGGTAGACATGGTAAAGTGACAGGCAGCGTCAGATGCTTTTCTGAAATAGAAAATCTGACTTTACCCCTTGTTTCTGGAAATAACAAGATTTCATGTTAACAAAACAAAAGATGGAAGGACTAATTAAACATTTCAAGTGTCTTTAAAAAAGCAGTGCTTGGCGAAGGTCTCTGATCTTAATGAATGTTTTTTTTTTATCAGTGAGTTGCTTAAACAATACCAAAAGTATCCAAACTGAATATAGATAAATGTAACTCAAGTTAATCCAGAGAAATAATTATTTTTGGCATTGCTGAAGGTGAACATTTGCTCTCCTCATAAACATGGGGTGTATTGTGCTGTGACATAAGACTTCCTGAAACTTTCAGGAAAGTTTCCTCATAAATTTGTGTGTGAAATTGTTAACTTCAGCATTGAGTTTACAGTTGTTCTCCAACTCTTAACTGTATGTACCTTCTCATGTTTCAGACTGAAAGCAGAATTCCAGCGGTACCAGTCATACAACTACAATGATTATTATCAAGATTATCAGAACTACTATTCACAGTGGAATTATGATCCTTATGCTGACTACAACTACAGCTCCTATACTCCCTATGATAGCATGCAAGCTGTTGGAGACTGCTCTTTAGGAGATGCTGTTATGGCTCCAGCTGTTTTTGAGGTAAAGATACTACATAGTTAATTAAAAAAAAACCCCACAATTAACAAGTCATATGGATTGTGTAAATCAGAGCAAGAAAGTCCTAAAACTGAAATCATGATGTCAGAGAAGTGTGAAGGTTATGTTCAACATGACCTTTTGGATTTAAGTGCTTGAGTGCATTCGTAGAATTAGATGTTTATGCAGTAATATTTGTTCTTGTATGTCAAATAACAGTTCTAACTGCAAGTTTTTGCAGTGTTTCTCTCATCCTGTGTTTCTGATGTACTTTGCTTAAAGCAAAGTAAAGAATAGTTGTAATTGATCAACTGGCTGACCTAGATATGATCATCTTAAGACTTCCAAAAGTGCATTTCCAGTGGAACTCTACTATGGTTTTCTCAAAAAACCCAACATTAAAAAGCAACAAACACCCCACAAGAAACCCTTTCCCAACAAACAGCACCTGTTCCTGCTTATTTTATAGCTGTGGGAGGAAGGGAATGTTTAGGAGCATAAAATTATTTTGGATTTGTGATGCTTTCTGAAACTGACTATGAGTACTTTCTCTTTTTTTTTAGGAAGCTTCAGCTATGACTGAAATCAATGATGACCTAATAACTGAAGGTAATGATAATTCTGTCACTGTCAGCTTGAATTTAGCCATACTTCTGCCCTTTAACAGTACAAGCCAGTGACTCTTGGGTAAATAATGGGTTATAGCTAAGATGAGGTAGGATTTTAAAGCTAATAGTGTACACTATGTCAAGTAGAATGGGATATTGTCAACAATGCTTTGCAGTAGCCTTCTTGTAACTTTGCCTTCATTCTCTGTCCAGAGTGGTCTGTTGGAGAAGGTACTAGATCTTTGTATTGATTCTGTTAAGATTGTTGTATGTTAAGCTCGTTCGTAGACATATCTTGTAATGGTGTCCAAAATTTTTAATTATGCCAAAATCTCTGCTTGATGTGAAAATACCAGTACAGTCCTAGCATTTGACTACACTAATTCCAAAAGAAATTGGACTTGTTAGCTTTGTTGAAGTTCTAGGTGAAAAAACATCTCACTAGGTGTACTATTAAGTTTGTTAAATCATTAAATTTACCTAAAGTACACTTTATTAAGCATCTACTTCAGGTTTTTGTGTGCAAGCCTCCCAAGTTCTGACACTTGTACTTACCAGACTTGTATTTTTAGATCCACAGCTGTACTTGGATGTTGATGAAATGAACAGACAATTTATGGAGACAAGTGAAGAACTCTATGATGCCCTCATGAATTGTCACTGGCAACCTCTGGATACGGTCACTTCTGACATCCCCTCTGCTATTTAAGTGTCTTATATAGCATGACCGTTATGACCAAGGTGCTAAAATTACATTTCTTCTACATTACTCTAGATCATAAGTTTTAAAGCACAATGATAGGTTGGGGTTTCTTTTGCTATGCTTTTGGCAGTTTCTGTAATCTTTTTCTTTTTGTTTTGTTCATCACTTGGAGCATCTTGAAATCATGTAAATATTCTAGAAATGTAAAGAGTTCAATGGGGTCTAAAGATAGACTTGCCTGTGTAAATAAAATTTTGTTTCTGCAAACTGGCCAGCAAGGGATTTTACTTATATATGCGAAACACTTTCTCCTTCTGGCTTGTGGAGCTTAGCTGGAGGCAGTAGGGATATTTCACTTGTCTTTGGTATGGGCATCAGCACTAGCAAGAGCTAGCTCTCACATACTCCCAAGATGCCTAGGCAATCTTACAAGCTCTTAATCTTAATGTGCTGTCCAGTTTTAACATACAGAAGGTTAAACTCAGAGCTGCTGTAGCTGCAAGCATTCCAAAGACTAAGGATGATACCTGCTGATGGTTTTATTTCTGCCCTTCTTGTTAGTCTTCTCATCTGACCTTTTACAGCAAAGAAACTGGTGTAATATAATACCTGTTCTTACATGTAAAAATCCTTGGAGAAAACCCTGTGGTTTAAAGAGGGAAGAAAAACTCATCAAGAATTAGAGTATCCCAGTATCCTCTTCAACTAAGTCGCACCCTATCCTAAACATCTGTTATTTGTTCAGTCTTTGTGCTCAGATGTTTCATAGTCATGAGGTCTATAACATTTTAGGATGACAGTTCTCAGTATTGAAGTCAAAAGAGGTTAGGGGAGATGGCAATGAAGAAAGTTCTGCTTTCAGGCAGCAACTTCTGAGTGGCTTCCTCTAAACTATTATTATCTGAAAGGGTATAAAGTACTTTCCAGTCATAGGGTCTTAAGCTCCTGTTACTACTTAATGTACACAATGAAATAAATTCAGGCTGGAAACAAAAGAATACTTTTTGAAGAGAAAAAGTATAAATTATCATATAGCTAATACATGTGAAAGCTACTAAAGCTACTGAAGGCATTTTGGTACTGATGTGTGTTTTGGGGGCAGTCTAAACCATAATTGCTAGGATGGCAGGTTTTTTCTTTAATGACTTAATTACATTGAAGTGGTGGTCATAACCTATATGCTGTTCTTAAATGTGAAACTAGTACTGCATTGCAGAGTGATGACTTGGCACAGCAGGTCCCTTCTACCTGCTCACCAGAATCTCCCTCTTTTCACAGTTTAATTTCAGCTGGGATTTTTTTTAAGTTCCACCCATGAAATACAGATGCACTAAACTAGAAAGGTCTTCTGGTGTGATATAGGAACTTCATTCTTCCTGAATTTTGTGCACTGCGTATGTAGAAAGAGAGCAAACAAAAGCTGTTAATTTTGGGACATTACTATCACAGTCTTAGACTGTTTTCCTGCTTTGGAGAGAACTAGTTGCAAAGTGGCTGAAAACTGGGATTTTGTACATGAATGTTTCCCTGGTGTGAACTGGTCAGTCTTTGGAGAGTCACAGTAGGGAGATTATTAATGGGAATGTGACAGAAAGTGGAATAAATGAAGCAAAGAGAATCTGGATGGGGAAGGGAATTGCGTGTCTGTATAGAATTGTTTCACAGGATTGCAGAAGGAGGAAACTCAACATAGTAGATGCAGGCCTCTTGAATTTGAATGTGGGGGTGTTAAAACTTTAAAAACCGTGCTGGATTTGATGTCACTTCATTTGTAGTGCACAGTTGTGGTGCCTGAGCCTGGTAGTACAAGCCAGTTGCTAGGCAAAGGATTTTGTATCTAGCAAGCACCGTCATCACAAGCTGGACGATTATAACCCAGGCAGAGACCTGGAAGCTTCCTGCTTTGAAGTGCATATCCTGCTTTGCATAGCATTCCATAACACCCTACTTTACTTGCAGCAAGTAATTTGTGGGAACCTTTCATTGTGTTATCAGATCCTAAGGGTGCGTGTTGGCTTGGTAGAAATACTATAGAATATCCACTGATTTTTAGCTTTTGGGAGGTTGATCCATGTGTGAATTATGTAATAAGGAGCCCATGTAGTTGTGTGATTTCACTTTGATCAGCACTGTATCAGCACAGCACATAAACCTCAGAGTCTGTAGTCACTATATTTATGCAGATTTTACATCTCAGCAAGGTCTTCACACTGCATTAGAGAATCTTTTTGGACATGCACCTTCTGTTCTGTGTACCCATATAGTGAAAATACTGTTTATGCAATGTAGTGGAAGAGGTTGTTTGGGCCATTAGTTGTGCAAACCTGAGAGATGTTGGGGAATATATTTTCTTTAGTCAGCACAGAAGAAAAGTGAGGTGAAGGGGGAGTCTGCTGGTTGCAGCCTGTGTGATACTGTTTTAAACAGTAGAAAGGCTCAGTGTCTCCTGAGCCTTTCTAGTCTATACTGCTTACCAGTTAGGAGTGCATATGTGGGATCAAGATACTGTGTGCAGCACAATTCTTTACTGTAAATGCACACTGAAAAAGCTTCTGTGTTGGTGTAAGCACAAATTTGGGAAAAAAATGAGTGCATCAGATCTGCTGGCATTCATTGCTGAGACTTTTAATTGAGGAAACTTCCAGCGCTGGTCCAACTACTGCTTGAATTAGCAAGCTTACACAAAGACCTGAACATGTCCATCATACAGATGCCTGTTCTCAGTTCTACAAAGAGCTGATTGCAGTAGAAACATAAAAAAAAGTATTGGGAGCAATGTTTTCAACACCATGCTATTTCACTTTGGTTGTGTTCTATCTTTTTTTACCCAGATGAAATGTTGTGGGGTTTTTTTAAGTCTGATGAAGAATCTTAGTATTGGTTTTATAAACTCTTCATTGTACCTAGCTGTGATAGATAGTGCCTTTACCTAAAACCCACTTATTTCTTGAAGAGGAGTAATGTTTTTGTTTTCCACTTCTCTGAACAGAAAAGCTTTAGTACCATGGTTTGAGGGGCTAATGATCCTGCAGTGAACAGGGAGAATAAAACAGGCTAAAAACCAGTGAAGACTGAAAAGTGTTCAAAAAGGTTAAATGGTACTTAAGCCGTGAATGTTTCTTTTTGCAGGGATGCTCTTGGACCAACAGCTTCTTTCTAGTGCTACCTCAAAGTAACTTGCAGATATAACTCACAGGGAAGATTGATCAAATGGTGATGATCACTATCATTCTGCTGGAGATATATATATATATATATTTGCCTTTTGTTTTGTCTCATTTTAATGACATTTATTTAACTTCAGTGACTCATGTCAATAGACGTTGTTTGACTACATCCACAAGTATTTGAGTAATGAGTTTCTTTAAAGGTATGTCACCATATGGAAATTGTTCTAAATAGGTAAAAGAAGTAAATAAAGCAGCACTTGAATTTACAGAGCAAATGTCTAGTGTAGCTGCATTTGACACGTATATGGAAGAGAAAATTGTGTTTACAGCTTACCTTAATATTCTCAGCATGCATGAAGAAGGAAGCTTGTTTTAAATTTGTTCAGCTCCTACCTGACCAGCACAGGAATGATTTTAGTCAGTTCCACACACAGGTACCATTTTAGAAGCCAGCATTGTCACCAATGAATGTATGTTACCAATGGGCACATTTTCCATCCCCTCTGTAAATCTAGCTCTTCTCATCATGGAAACACATTATGCTAGCCTTCCTTCCTCTTCTCTCAAGCTGAAAGCTAGCATGGTAATTGGTTCCTGGACAAAACGAGTTGCAAATCCAGGCAAAAATACTATTTTTTGTTTTGATAGTTATATTGATGTAGATCTTGACATGCCCATTGTCAAAGCAGACCATCATCCTAAAATTAGTCAGCAGCTGTAGCACACCAGCCATTCACACAAAATGAGGTGGTTCTTGCAGGTGACTTCAAACAGGCATGTTGCAAGGATAGGGATTGTCTGTCACTGCAAGTCATCCCCTGCATGTAAAATTGTATTCCCAATTGTGGGGCACAAGAGTAAGAGTGCAGTTTATGAGGAGAAATATCTTGAAAGTAATTCCACTCTGCTGGGTAATGGTTATTTCCTGTAGATAATGAAAAGGGGACAAAGAATGGAGGAGTTAAGTCATGTAAGAGAACTGGGAGGACCCTGACGAAGTTTAAAACAACCCAGTATGAAGCAGAAATGAGGCAGCACAAAATCCCCCAACACCATTTCTTGTTACAGCTGTTCCTGTGTAGCTGCTGCCTCTTTACATTTCTGCATGCTTTCAGAATCACCTTTGTTTAAGGTCCCCATAATTCCCCCCACACCTCTCCTAGTTCCACACACCCTTTCTTCATGTGTGTGCTGGGATAAATGCTTTTTTTTTTTTTTTTTTTTTTTTTGTGGAAGGGGTGTGTGGTGCATCAGGGCTCTGTCCTGAGTAACATTTTTACTGACTTGCGCACAGGGAAGATGCTTGTGATTTTCTGCACTGCTCAGCTCCCTCCAGCCTTCCCACGGCAAGTTGATACTAAAAATAAAATGTGAAACTTCTCACCTTTACTTTCAGTAAGATAAAACCCCATATTTTAATGTATTTTAACTTGGTAATAGGAATGCACTCTTCCTCATGTTTTGAGGAAGTAAAAGTCATGGTGAAACTTTTTCCTCCTACCTCCTTTCCCCATGCCACCACTAAGCGGTGAAAAACCTGCACCTGCTGTTTCTCTTGCTTACACAAACCCACTCACTAGTGCCAGCACCACAGACTTGCCGGTGCCGTTTTTCCTGCCGCGTTCTCCACGCTGTTCCTCGTATGGGGCAAGGGAAACATCCCCTCCTGCTGTCCCTTTGGGGAGGTTCAGCGTGGATAACTTGTGTCCCCGGGGGTGGAGTGTCTGGAGGACAGACGCAGGCTCTGCTCGGTGGTGCCAAGCAGTAGGGCAAGAGGCAAGGGGCAGAAACCGATGCACAGTAACTTTCATGTAAATACGAGGAAAAAAAACTACTGCGTGAATGACTGCTCGGACTGGAACATGGTGCCCACAGAGGTTGTGGGGTCTCCCTCACTGAAGAAAGGAAGTGTCCGGATGCAATCCTGTGCCATGTGCTCTGGGCCGACACTGCTTGAGCGGAAAGGTTGGATCAGATGACTCACTGTGGTCTCTTTCAACCTGAGTCATTCTGTGAAACGCCGCGGGAAGAGGGGAGACGGTGGTGGAATCACCCGCGGTGAGACCCGCACAGACCTCCGCTGTAGCCCTCAAGCTG